TCTCCCAAAAAGAAATTTTACACAGTTCTAACAACTTATTAAAACACCTTACTGAAGCCCAGATAATGGTGGGCATAACCGCACTGTGACCAGGACTGCTCAATTGTGGACATTCTAGGTCTTCTAGTTAAACTCTAGTCTCACTTCAGGACCCAAGAGGAACCTGAGGGGCTTGCTGGATCTCTTTGTACCTCTTCCCTGTTGAAGTAGGAGCAGGCCTGCTTTTCCTCCTGGCCACCCTGCTGGCTTGCACCCAAAATAATCACACAGAAATTGTATTCATTTAAACACTGCTTGGCCCATTAGTTTTAGCCTCTTATTGGCTAATTCTTACATCTTGATTCAACCCATTTCTAATAACTTGTATGTTACCACAAGGTCATGGCTTACCGGGAAAGATTCAGCATGTCTGACCTGGCAGCTCCATGGTGGCTCTCTGTCTGCCCTTCTTCCCGGAAAAGTTTGTCCTAGGGTTTAGGGACATCATTTAGGGGTTGATTATAATTGGTATGCGGTTGAGGGTTGGGAGAGGAATTTTATAAACTCAGGGATCTTTTTTAAAAAAAAGAGGGAAAATTGGATGATGGGATAATAGATTGGTATTTGTGAGTTATTGTTTATAAACAATTACATTGGCATAGATTCTTGTATATGGATACAAACTTAAAAAATTATATTGAATATTGTATGCATGCAAGCTTATACCTGTGTTTAAAACATTTTTTGTGTATTGATATATATATATTTACTATATTACAGTGCATATTTCTATCTCTTGATTAACATACTTATATATTGTTTATATATTGATAAATTTATTTACCATATTGCAGTGTACATTTCTACCTCTGATCAAGATATTTGTACATTGTTTATATTTGGAGGTCATATTGTCCTCATTTATTGCACAGTTGTTTATTGTCTTAGTTGTTAAGTTAGATAGGCATTAAGAATTATAGATCATCAGTCATATGCTTGTCATATTTATCGTTAGACTAATTGGGTTTTTTAGATACATAAAGATTATATTCTGTATAAATAGATAATCTTCAACCTCTTCAAAGAGCTGTAGAAAATGGCATTTAATCTAACTTAGAGTTCTGTGGTAGTGAGACACAATCACTCCTTCTACAGATTGGCCACCCAAAGTGGTAAACTGACTCCACATAAAATCTGAGAGAGTTTCATAAACAATACAGAGTTTAACACAGCTTCTTGCTGTTTGCTGATGGCTTGCCACAGCTGCTTTAAGAGAGATTTTCCTGATTCAGCTGTAGTAGAATAAAAACCGCGCAGTTTTAAAATGCTGGCTTTCTGGGCTGTGTTCCTAGCACGACCTCTATCTCTTGCGGGAGACAGAGCATTTAGATGGGATTTGTGAGTAAAGTGCTACAGTGTGCCTGGAAGGGGGACATTGTGTGCCACAGCTCAGAGGCACAAGTGGCTACGCCATGTTGGACTGGGTGAGGCAAGCAGGCAGTACCTGTATTTGACCTGGGATTTCACAGTTTAGATTCTTAAGAGCTTAGCCTTTTAAAAGCTCTTCAAGACAGTAAAAAACTAAAGACAATGTGATAGGACAGATTCAGACATAAAAGACCTCTAAATGGGTCATAGTGTTAGATAAAGTATGCAGGCTTGGGAGAGAGAAAAAAAGAGTATACAAAGTCATAAAATAAAGTTAATGCTTTAAAAAAATGGATTAAGCCTTTAAAGAGACAGAGTATAGATAGTCATAAATTAAAAAAAATAAAAAATAAGCCACATAAAAATGAAAAATTCACAGAGAGTCTGGATTATGTATTTTATTGTGTTTTCTTTAAATTTTTTGTCTGTAAAGGAGCTAAGTACAAAGAGACATTTCATTGTATGGGCTAAGCTAAACCAGCATGTATATTATAAAGGTATTATGACTTAAAAAGCTGGGTCTAAGGATATGATGCTTTGGAAAAAAGTTATTCTTTTGTTTTCACAGAAGATGAGACCCTGTGGATTGCTTCTAGACCAATATGGTATGATAGACCATACCCTCCTGAAAGGTTGCTATGAACACCCTCAAAAAATTACTTTGCTCAACTGCCAACTAAGATGAACCTAGCACACAGGATACGCCATGAAAGATCTGATTAACAGTGCCCCCGTACAGCATGAAGCAGTTTGGAGAGAAAAAACTATGCCTATATTCCCAAATATTATTTATAAATGTTCTTTTTCATTTAAATGGGAATATGATATAGATATAAATAATTTACATTGGCATAAATCTTGGTTTATTGATATAAATTTAAGGTCAATCTTGTTATATGTATATGTATTTCTGCTCTTGATTAAGGTATTGTGATTGTGTAGTTCATTGAAAAATATAATGTATAATTAGAAAATATAGGTTGTTAATGGATAATCATCAATAATAGTCAAGCTTGTAGTCATGTTAGTTAGATTTTCTAGATGTGCATAGATATATTTCAGATAGGCATTCTTCATATCTTTCAAAGACTACAGAATATGGCATTTAAGATGTTTTAATAACTTAGGGCTTTTCATGACAATGAGACACATCTGCTCCTGGCAGCACCAATCTACTTCAAGAGGAAGATGTGCATGGAAGAGGCTCATTATGGAGTTGGTTAGCCATTTGGGCAAGAAACTGCTCTTGCCTAAACTGTTGCATAAACTGGACACAATGAACCCACAGAGAGAGGACTGATGAACTTGCCAAAAGATGAGACGATCCTTTGGGGTTCCTGATTCATGAAAGAGTCTGCGAGACATTCTGCAGGACACAGAAGAAAGTGACTAACTGTCTTTAAAATTTCTTGCTTATGGGGCTAGAGAGATGGTTCAATGTTTCAATGGTTAAGAGCACTGGCTGCTCTTTCAGAGGTTCTGAGTTCAATTCCCAGCAACCACATGGTAGCTCACAACCATCTGTAATGAGATCTGGTGATCTCTTCTGGCGTGCAAGCATATTTGCAGGCAGAATGGTATACATAACTAACTAACTAACTAAATCTTTAAAAAATTTCCTGCATCATGAAAATGTCTGCTGGATACTATGGGCCTGTAGGCTGAAGATGGATGCCCCAAGGGTACAAAAGAACTTCAGGTGACTGTCCAGAAAGCGAGATGTCTCTGTCATTTCTAGAGTTTGGAACTTACTTATTTCTTTTTTACTTAGGTAATATTATATCCTTCTGGAGTCTTTGATGGAGTTGAAGAATAGATAGTCATAATTATAGTTTTCCTTTGTTATGATAAAAGATAAAATAGATATAAATATTGTAATTGTAATTGTAATTCTTGCTTGATAACTGTTTTGTTATATATAATTTTACTATGTTAAAGTTAAAGCCTTCCTTTTTGTTTAAACAGAAAAAGGAGAAATGGTGTAGGAGGTTCTTCTGCCTATGTGTTGCTTTCATTGGTTGAATAAAGAAATTGCTTTGGTCTTTTGATAGGGCAGCACTTAGGTAGGTGGAGTTGACAAAACTGAATGCTGGAAAGAAGGGAGAGAGAGAGAGCTACCATGGAGCTGCCAGGTCAGACATGCTGAATCTGTTGTGAGGTAAGCCACAACCTCGTGGTAACATACAGATTATTAGAAATGGGTTGAATCAAGATGTAAGAATGAGCCAATAAGAGGCTAGAACTAATGGGCCAGGCAGTGTTTAAATGAATACAGTTTCTGTGTGATTATATTGGGTGTAAGCTAGCAGAGCGGCCTGGACAAAAAGCAGGCCTGCTTCTCCTTCAACACTTCCTAGTGTGACCACATTGAATAATTCTCTGCATTATTTTTCTGTTTTCTGCTTTTAAGTATGCTTTTTTGATTGGCTTACTGAAGATAGCTGGCTGGACCTGTCTTGGGGCACTGGTTGTGATAACATATTAACCTTTGTTTGTGTTCAGTCCTCTGTGTCTATTGTGGGTCTGACCTGGGTAAAGTTGCCAGTTATGACATCAAGAAGGTATTAAAAAGTTGGGTGGTGCTGGGCGGTGGTGGTGCACGCCTTTAATCTCAGCACTCAGGAGGCAGAGGGAGGCAGATCTCTGTGAGTTTGAGGCCAGCCTGGTCTACAAGAGCTAGTTCCAGGACAGACTCCAAAGCTACAGAGAAATCTTATCTAAAAAAGAAAGAAACAAAGAAAGAAAGAAAGAAAAGAAAAGGAAAGAAAAGAAAGAAAAGAAAAGAAAGGAAAAGGAAAAGAAAGAAAGAAATGAAAAAGAACAGCTGGGTGGTGGTAATGAATGTCTTTAATCCCAGCACTAGGCAGAGGCAAGTGGATCTCTATGAGTTTGAGGACAGCATGGTCCAGAGTGAGTTCCAGGACAGGCTCCAAAGCTAGAGAAACCCTGTCTCAACTCCCCCCCCCCCCAAAAAAAAAGAAAGAAAGAGAAAAAGGTAGTAGATCAGGCACAGAAGAGCTATAAAAGATCATCCTGGTCTTCACTGAAGACCAGACTGTCTCCTGTGACTTTAGCAGTGACTCTAGGGATGTCATTGTCCTCAACAGCTACTTTGTTAGGCTCACGTCCTGATATGACAGTGAATTTTGTTAAAGAAGCAGGAATTGGTGGGGGAGGGTCATGGTCCACAGGACTCCAGGGAATAAGAAGTTCTGGACCATTCTGCTCAATAAAAGCACAAGAGGAAGACAGGTCCTTGATTGCTGGAGAGTCCTTGTTTAACTTAGTCCCCAGCCCCAGGCTCTCCCTTCCTCTCAGTTCAACCCCAGATCCCTAGGGCACACTATCTATAAAGTTTGCTTCACTCTGAAACAAACTAGTTACTAACTTTTGGCCATAGTTTTTCAAGCTCAAAAATAAAATCTAATAATTTCTTTACTATTATTTTAAACAAACCCCTGATGCTTCTTGAATGCTTTGGTGTGCATCACTAAGGAACACTTACAATTCTAATCTGGAAGTTAAGTCATTTCATGCTCAGTCCACAGCTCGGTATCATGATCTCCATGAATTTATTTATTAATCTTGTATAGCTGTCCCCTGAATACTTGAAGCAACCCAGGGGATGAATGGTTTATTTTGCTCACAGCTCTGGAGATGTCAGCCCACAGGCCTTGGTTTCATTGATTCTGGGTGCATCATGACTGGAGGAGCATGTGGAAGAGGCTGTTTACTTCATGGCAGATGGGAAGCAAAAGAGTAGGTAGGGACCACACATAGACTTCAAAATAGCACTTCCCATGACCCCCTTCCTCCAGCAAGGCCTCATCTGAGGATTCCAGCATCGCCTGAGATAACACCATCATCTCCTGAGATAACACCATCATCTCCTGAGATAATACCATCATCTCCTGAGATAACACCATCATCTCCTGAGATAACACCATCAGCTGGAAACCAAGCATTCACCACATGACCCATGTTCAAACCATAGTAGTGAGTGTGGGGTCAGCACAGCCTGGGTTAACATAGGCTGTGGTAGGATGTCAGCCGGGCAGCATTTCTTTCTAGATTCCAGGCTTGTCTTCCAAGCTCATGTGGCTGTTAGTAGAACTCGGTTTCTTGCAGTCATGTGACAGGTTCCCCATTTCTTGTTGGCCAGTCATTTTGCAATCTCAGGCCTAGAATATGCACGCTTGCTATATCCTCTTCCCCATTTGCCTGGGAAAGCATTCTCATGAGGGTTTCTGTCTCACCATTCCACATGATACTTCTTGTCAAAGTCACCATGACCTCCGTGGTTTTGAACCTCACAGACCATTCTCAGCTTTTGCACTGTTTCATGCGACAGGTTAAAGCAGTAGAAATGTGTTGCCTGTCATCCTACCGCAGTCTTGGAGGACAGAGGTCTGAGGTCAGGGCTCTGGCAGAGCTTCCGTTTCCAAGGGCTATGGGAAGAACTCTTCACTGTCTCTTCCAGCTCCCAGTGGCTCCTGGCACTCTTCAGTGTTCCTTGACTTGGAGTCCTCTAATCTCTGCCTTTGTCTTCACGGGGCCACCCTTCCTGTGTGTCCAAATTTCCATATTCTTAAAATGACCAAATTTCCATATTCTTAAAATGCATGGCCCCTGTACATTCTCTGTACAGAGAATGATCAATGATAGCTGTACTTTTGGTTTCAAATGAATGAGTGGTTATGCATATAACAAGCAAAAGTACAAGAAGAAATAGCAAGCAACAGAGTCATCAAGTCAGGCACTTAGAGCTGAATGAACAAAGGAAATAAGGAGGACAGGAAAGAACAGGGCATGGCTGCTCTTAGGTATGGTGGAGGAGAAAGCTTATTGTAGACAAAAGGGAGAGCACAGCCAGAGGCAGAGACATCTGGGAGGGCCCAGAGTGGGAGCTGAGCAGACGGAGCTGGGTCATGTGAGGAGAGGGGGCGGAGAAGGGAGAGTGGAGAACAGGGAAACCAGGTGGAACAGCTAGGAGGCCAAAGGTATAAAAGGCGTAGTTGCTGTGGAATAATCCTTTTGGACACTGTGAAAATGTATTACTCTCGTTGCTAATAAAAAGCTGATTGGCCAATAGCTAGGCAGGATTTTCTGGGCAGAGAGAATGTTGGGAAGAAGAGCCAAGTCTGAGGAGTCTCAAGAAACATAGAGAGAAGCAAAATGAGCATGCCATGTTGAAAGAAGGTACAGACAAGTGGCAGAGGGTAGATAAGAAATATGGACTAATTTAAAGTGTAAGAGTTAGCTAGTAACCAACCCGAGCTATTGGCTGAGCATTTATAATTAATTTTAAGTCTCTTGGACTTAAATTGGGAGCAACTGCTGAGACACAGAGAAACTCTTCTGACAGGTAGGTAACCAAAAAGTCTGGATTATTTAGGGAAGAGCCTCTGGGGGAAGGGCAGCCCAGCCCTAGGCTGGGGAATTCAGGATAGAGGGTGGGGTGTGCCAGCTATACGCTATAACAGGCAAGGACTGAGGAATTCTGGGAGAACCTAGTGGCCAGGTCCACTTTGATAGTTAAATAGGCACTTCAGCCGTTTGTTTGAAGCTTAACAACAACCACATCCTTAGGAACAACCGGAGTGGCCTGACTGAGAGAGTAAGCAGAAGCAAACTAAAAGTAGTGAGCGGCAGGTAGATGACATCATCAGGCCGTGTACTTACAAGTTCAGCAGAAAGGAGCAGGGAGGTCCCACTGAAACAGCCTCGCTGGAGTTCTTGGTGGGAAGCACTCATGGCATCCTCCCCAGACGAGCTTCTGCCTGCTCATTCTCACCACAGGCTTTTATACCATGGGATAAAAAGTGACCTCTGTTAGAAATGGTTCACCTTCTAACTGTTCCAAGAGCTAGTGCTTTTTGATACCATTAGCTGCTCATTGTTTTTCCTTTTCTCTTACAGAGCCAGGGGGCCACCCTCCACCAGGACAAGGCGTCTTGGGCAAACCCTTGAAAAATACATTCTAGCATCTGAGACAAGAGAGTTTACTTGGTTCCAGAATCCATTCTGAATAAGTACAAATAGCACACAGCAATTTACCAATATAATTTACATTACAACCCAAGTTATTAGATTTAAGGCCATACTAGTCCAATGTGATGACTTCTCCACCTCCTCCTCTTCTCTTTGAGACAAGGTCTCACTAGCAGACCAAACTAGCCTGACATTTTCTGTGTGCCTGGAACTTGAGGCACTCCCACCTAAGCATCCTGAGTTCTGAGGTAATAGGTATAGGCTACTATGCCCAGCACAAAAATCACATTCTCTTGACTCAATTATGTCTGTACAGACCACATGACCAAAAAAGTCAAAGCTGCAAACTTCTGGTATGTCAGGGACCAGCCTTTACAAAATTACCTCTTGCCAGGGTAGGGGCATGGGGATTTAGAAATATGAATAAAGAATACAAAGATGTGAAAAATAATAAAACAGAAACCAGAATAGTACTGGGAGGGCATTCCAGTGATTACTGAAATCATCCACGTTTAATTTTCCGTATGCTTTTATACCCCACTACAAAATGGGGGAGGAGGTAACAAAAGACTTTATTAACATGATACAAAGGACAACTGAACAGTTAATTGCTTTAACACTTGAGACATCAAGTCATTAGCATTCTGTTATTTCGGCAGTGAAACTACCCTAGACCCAGTATCCTGAAGGCAGCCACTCCCTAGGTCAAACCTCATATTACAGAAGAAGGAGCAGAAGTATGCTTGCACATCCTGACCATCTGTCAGGATGAAATGGCTCTACTTGTATGAGCCATCTTAATATCAAAAGAACCAAGTAATGACATCCTGAGTCAGGATGTGTAGCTACACTTGTTAACAATTGAGCAACTTCAAATTCTCTGATCATCAGACAAGGTGGAAACAGGCTCACAGTTTTGGGCCTCCACACGGGTAAGCACACGTTTCTTGGGTCATCATTAAATCCAGTAGAGCTCGTGTGTTAACCATGTTTTTTTGTCACTATAAAATCCATTTGAAAACAGGTTTTATTTCAGCTCATAGTTTTAAAAGTTTTAGTTGCTGGTCATCTGGCTCCTTGCTTTAAGGTGTATGGCGTGGCAAAAACATTGTGGTGGAAGAACAGTGCTGACAAAGACTGCTCTCACAGAGAGGAGAGAGAGAGAGAGAGAGAGAGAGAGAGAGAGAGAGAGAGAGAGAG